AGCACACAAAAGGAGGACATGTCCGGGGAAATCCGGACGTATGGTAACCCTATCCCATCAGCCCTTTCACCTCTGTATGTCCCCTTCCTCTTGGCCAAGCAGGGACTATATGTCATCCCTCATATTGCACTGCTCCTACCCCTGCCCAGGTAAGGGGAAAGGGTCTGAGCCAGGAAGTGGCCAGGTTCTGTTTGAACAGGGGGAGCCACGTGGCAGCAGGAGAGAAGCCCCATGAACCGCAGGCTGAGCCACATGTGGAACAAGTTGTGATGGCCGGATGGGGGGAGGTTTGTGTGGGGCTTATGGGGGAGCCGCGGGCTGGGCAGGGAACTGGTGCAAAGGGGTCTCAGTGAGAGACACTACCTGAGTCTGGCTTGGGAACCCGCCAATGTTTGTTTGCTGGAGTAGAGACTGGAGCGGAGTGGACAGCCCAGGCACTGGGGATGAAGACCCTGCCTCTGAACCGGACGGCCCCAGGGACCCAACCAGGGTCCGCTATTGCTCCCTTTGAACTGTAACCACAGGTGCTGATGTAACCCACACACCTCCTGGGTGTGGTGTTCTGTCCCAGCGAGTGGCACCGAGACCACTTAGAGCAAGAGAAAGAGATCAAATGAGTCTGCTTGACAGCCTTACTGAGCACCCTCCTGGCTTTTAGATCATGTGGTTGAGGCTCATGCACTAAGCTTCAGAGGTCCCTGGTTCGATCCTGCCCGCCGACAACTAGGGTCTGTCAGCGTTACACTGACTCTCATTTTTCCGGGTGGATGTGCCACCCCAGGCTCTGCCCTGAGGCCCCGCCCCCACTCCACCTCTTGCTGCCCCTGCTCTACAACTTCCCCTGAGGCTCTGCCCCCACTCCACCTCTTCCCACTCCTGCTCCACAACTTTCCCTGACACCCCGCCCCCACTCCACCTCTTCCCACTCCACTCCTCCCCTTCCCCTAAGGCCCTGTCCACACTCCACCTCTTCCCACTCCACTCCTCCCCTTCCCCTAAGGCCCCGTCCACACTCTCCCTCTATGCTCCCTCCCCGGAGTTCCTCACACAGCTGTGTCTGCTTTTGCCCTGGAGCACTCACGGGGTCAGCGCCTCTGACTGTCACTGTTTAAACCTCTGCACCGAGGCGATCTGCAACCTCTCCCCTTCCTGCCAGCCCTAGTCAGAAACCCTTTCCCTGAGCCATGTGCCTGAGTGGTTATTGGCACCCACCCGGGCTACCCCCTACATGGCCAGACAGCTGAAGCACCTACAGTGCTTGCCTCCGAGATGCGATACATGGGGCGCGCTACCGGCACCCTAAGAGTTTGGGGTCCAGAGTCACCCCAGTACTTCCAGACCTACTTTAGCTCAAGTAGCGTGTGCTCCTGGTGCTGAAGGGCTGGGGTTCAGTTCCTCTCGAAGACCCATGTCAGGGTGTTACACTGGCCTATTCAACAGGGGAGGCGGCTTCCCCGCACTTCCTCCATCCCATCCAGCAGCAACCCGGCTCTGAGGATTTTGGCAGGTCCCCTGCAGCAGCTGCGCTGGGCCCTTCGTTTGGAGACATCCCCATTTCAGCTCAGGGAATTGGGAGGAGGGCGGGTTAGCCAGGAGGGGAGAACAGGTCAGCCCACAGGAAAGGCTGCAGGGACCAGCTCTAGTAGATTTGTCTGACTCCGCGGTTAACTGCAGCAAAAGAATTCCCCAGTGTTCAGTAACTTCAGAAGCATTAATGATCTCTGCCTCTTCCCACTGCCCCCTGCAGGTGGCTCCGGGTGCAAACTCTGCCCCGGGAACTGGGTGCTGCACGGGGACAAGTGCTACTGGCTTTCGAACGAGGCTGACACCTGGAGCACGAGCCATGACGACTGTTCAAGGAAGGGATCTCAAATGCTGGTGATCCAGGATCGGGAACAGATGGTAACGTACATTTTATGTCAGGGCACAGAGAGAGCCGTTCATCATGTCTCTGTTTTCTTTGTTACGTCTCTCTATACAGCGGCTCTCAAACTTCATTGTACTGCGACCCCCTTCTGACAACGAAAATTACTACATGCCCCCGGGCGGGGGAGTGGAGATGGAGTTGGAACCCAAGTCCCTCTGCCCTGGGCAGATACGGGGGGTGGAGTCCCAGGACCGCTGCCCCAGCTGAAGCCCTCGGGCCACAGCAAGTCATTAAAATGGGGTCGCAACCCACTTTGGGGTCCCGCCTGACCCCCAGTTCAAGAACCACTGCATGACCTAGCACAATGGGGCCCAGGTAATTGATTGGGGCTCAAAAATAAAAGTCAAAAAGAGATTGGAAGCTAATGTGGATAATAAATATCCAGAGATCTCAGTTAATGCTGGAAGAGCTTTGTACAGGACAGTAAACCTCCCGCTGCAGGGCTGAAGCCATTGATCTGTTAGAGACCTAGAATCGATCTACTAGAGATCAGGATGGGAACCAGGGTGGGGTGAGATCGTCCTGCATCTGCTGCTGCGGGGGACTTACGCCTTCCTCTGAAGCAGGCAGTGCCGGCCATTGTGGGAGACAGGGCACTGGGCTAGATGGACCCTGCGTCTGATCCCGTCTTGCTATTCCTGTGTTCCCAAATTCTACCAGAGCACAAATAACAATAATTATCTAAGGACCTGCCGGGCACCTCCATGAAACGGTAACTGGTAAGAATGTGGTTCCAACCCCAGCAGTGAGTTACAGACATTTTGTTTACAGGTCAGCAGCTCAGAGAGATATATTATGAATCTAGATCTATTATGAATAATAATGTCATTATCATTATCTATTTCCATTCAGGGAGCACAACTAGTGGGCCCAGGTAGGATGGGGGCCTCATTCTGTGGGGAACTGGCTGTGCCCGCCAGGAGACATGGTCCTTGAGCCAAAGTGTTTACAATCCAAATAGACCAGACGGTCAAATATGGGCTCATTATCCCCATTTCAGAAAGGGGAAACCGAGGCCCAGAGAAGTCGAGCGACTTTGTCCAGCACAGCGTGTTGTGCCGGTTTATTGCCGTTAGGTTTTTCTGCACTGTAGCATTTCGGGGTCTGTCTAATTCCATGTGCTGCTAACGCTGGGGCAGACATAAAAGACTTCTAGAGCAATACATTCACCCAGCCACTTCTATTGCAGGATTCCCTGCAGCCTGTCCTACCAGCTGACCTTGCTGTTTGGATTGGCTTAACATTTAACTCGACACAAGGGAAGTGGACCTGGCTGGACGGTGCCTCTTTCCATGGAAAACTGTGAGTGGCTCCTGAGTTTTACTATTTCATGCTTAGAAAATGCCCTGCCATGTAATTTGCTGGTTCAGACCATGCGGCGTGTCCCACACCAGCTCCTCTGGGACTCGTAGCAGTTGAGAGACACAATGTAGGTCACTGGAACGGATTTCACGTGTAGGGTGACCAGATGTCCCGATTTTATAGGGACAGTCCCAATATTTGGGTCTTTTTCTTATATAGGCTCCTATTACCCCCCCACCTCCTGTCCCGATTTTTCACACTTGCTGTCTGGTCACCCTATTCACGTGTCACTCGGCTGTCAGGATAATCTAAGCCTGCTTTAGATGCCCACTCCTCAAACCACAGCTTACTTAAGCCTTGCCCCAGTGATGCTTTGTGGAATCCGTCTGTCCAATATAGTACTTTGAGCAAGATTATGCATGTTCCCGGCATCTTTACCAAGCTGCAAACTGCAAGTTTTTTTTAAGGGCGGGGGAGAGCTAGTTGTTGTCTTTTTGTGTGTTTGCCTCCAGGTTGAACTGGAAATCCAAGTCATGGCGGGGGTGTGTGGCAGAGGACTAGCAAAAGAGGGTCAATCACTTAAGTGCCTGACCACTGAAATATACTTGCTCTAGACAAAAGGCTGGTCCCTGCCCCGAAGAACTAGTTTAGCAGGGGAGAAGTTGCCAAGCAATGAGGTCACCTGTTGGGGAGGGGTTGGAATCACATTCTTACATATTAAGCTTATAAAGGTCTGGAAGGTTATGAAAGGACAGGAGCTGACCTCTCGTTCTCATCAGCCATTCTGTGTGCTTGCTCTTGCTTGACGCAGCACAGGGGGTGTGGGTGTGGGTGCGTGTGCGCGCTCTCAAAGTCTCTTCCAGCTGTACAGGTCTATGATTTCTACAGCTGAAGCTGAGAGCAGCTGCACGTAGGAGTCTGATGGGGCAGAGGGACCCCCGCCTTCCATAGCACAGACCCCGCAAGGATTCCCGAGGGAAGGGGGAGCTAGTGAAGGGCATGGCGTGCTGGTTGTTTTCCAAATGATCTGTTCTCGCTTGTGCTTTGTCTGAAGCAGAGGGCACTAGTGCCGTTCGAATTCTGTGCAAAGCCTGTCTGTGCATTTCACACTTCACAACTGCCTAGGGTTGCCAACTCTCCCAGACATTGACACAAATGGGGACGCCGTTGCCGCAAGATGGCATCCAGTCTGGGAGAGTTGACAACCCTACAACTGCCCCGTGTCCCCTGAGAATGTTAAACAGTCACCCGGGACTGGAGGCTCAGACCGTTGGTGCAATACTGGCAGAGGGTGTGTTTAAACTACTCGCGCTAGGTGCAGGTTGCTAGGGCGGGGGGACTGAGGGGCTTCATTTCTAAGAACTGGTGCTAGACTGAGGATGGGTTTGCTCCAGTCCCGGAGCACCCACAGAGTCGGCACCTATGGCCTGCTGAGACCCAGGGAAGCTGAAAGCACCGTCTCACAGCAATCTGGTAAGCCGCCAGCAGGGGGAGCCCGAATTCAGAAAAAAGAACAGGAGTACTTGTGGCACCTTAGAGACTAACAAATTTATTAGAGCATAAGCTTTCGTGGACTACAGCCCACTTCTTCAGATGCATATGCA